CGCAATATGGTTCATGGGGTCACGAAGAGTCGGACACGACTTAACGACTGAACAACAAGAATTGTGTTCAGATACAGGCCATTATTTAAAAACGAACATAATACCAATTCCTGAACTTGCGCTTTCCTCTCCCCTTCCGTGTTAACCTTCTGCATTGGAAGGCTGTGGCCAGTGATTTATTCTTTCACAGACCGTTCTCATGCTGTTTGGGAGTGCTTTGGCTGAAGAGCAGGATAAAATATGCTTCAAATAAAAGCCTGTTGAAAACAAGAGTATTTTGATTTCCTCCACATACCTATAGCAGGTGAGAGTTCCTTCACATTCTGTTGCGTAATAGCTTAGGTACGAAGTACGTAACTGATTCTTTGGCATGGCCAGCAGCTTACTAGGCAACATCCTTGCACACAGATGCAGGAAACAAGCAGCGTAGTTATGTCCGACATCACTACCTGCAAACATCTAATGCTCTGGAACTGAAACTTCGTAATATTTTTTCTTTCTTTTTTAGTGGAGGCTTGTTAAATTGGATACACCAAACTGTTAAAACAACAAATATTAAAATAGTGCCCATAATGGATTATGGCAAACCAATTTTTCTTATTCTGTGAAATGTTTCCTTCCCTGGTGTGAGGAATCCCATAAAATCCTCATGAGCAGCAATTCTCTCCCATATGGTGAGCAGTGGGTCATCATGTAGCATTAAGACGGCAAAATTGTAGGATGCTTCAACAGAGTTGAAAGTTAGGCATTTTTATTTCTGCTTTGGGGGAGGGTTGTGGAACTGAACAGCATTTCTGTGTCTCCCTTGGTGTGTGTTTCCATAACTTTTTTTTTTAAGTGATTGTACGGCAATGAAATAAAGACAAAGGAAGAATTCGCATTATCTAGAAATTTTAAAAGCCTCAGTACTGTACTTCGTTGACATTATCAACAGCTGCTTTGCAAAGGATACCGTTTCTAGAAGAACGTGTGGTAAATATGAGCTCCTGTTAAAGCAATAACTGTTCAGCTGTAAGCGTGGCTGTTTGATCCTTGAGACTCCCTTGCCCTTGAAAAAAGCGATCCAGGTCAATAACAGGTAGGGAAGAAAATGTTATTCTCAGAGCTATTCATGAAATAAAAAATATCTGTGGGACAGTGGTGATGTTCTTTAGATGGTGCCCCGATCATCTAACAAAGAAAGGTCAAGCTTTGTGATGCACACAGCAAAATCAAAACTGTTTTCAGATCTGATTTCTCATGTTACATGGAAATTATAGGTAGAAATGTGAATTTTGGTGTTTATGAGCTTTAGAGGTAGAGAAGAGATAAAACCATTAAGTATGGAAAATCATACCGGTATTATCTGTCACTGACAATTTTAATGCTCCAAACTACAAGTTCTCCCTATAAACTCTGTAAATGAATATGCAGAAGAATAACAGAGACCACAACATAGACTTTAACCTGGCTTCATTAATTGCTGAGTTGTACATCTGAGGTTTGTGGGACTGTTAGGTTGTTCCGTTTTGTTTTTAATAGCACAAGACACCTGGAGTCTGGTCATAGCATTACAGTACAAATTAAAAAATAAGAATAATAAATGAACACACCCGCCCAATACAGTGCGGAGAAAATGAGAATCTAAATATTTACAAGGGAGGGGAGGAAGTGGGATGCACAAAAATATTTACATAAAAGAACATGAGTTCGTCGGCATATACATTTTATACCAGTTCTTACACACAAGAGTAAAAAATAAAAATAATAAAAAATAAGACACTATATAAATTAAAAAGAGAACACCTAGAGATCACCCCAATCTTTCTGAGATGAGTCTCTCGTGTGGCTCAAAAAGACGACTCAAGTTTCCACAGCAGGAAAATAAACCGCACAACGATCATTTCTTGTTCGTTTTGCAATGGAGCTACACAATATTAAACTTACTGTAGACACTGAAGTTACTGAGCGCATGTTAAAATGTACCATGCCCATTGCATCAGTTTCCATAGCACAGAATTCTGGAGAAAAATGTCATGCCGAAGCCACCTTTAAAAAATAAAATCAGAATCCCCTAAGTCTACAATACCATTCCCAAACACTGTACTGTCACGCTGCAGTCTACTGACACTTTTGCCATCAGCCTACCAAACTGAAATGGGGCGTCTGGGACAACACATACAAGGGAACACATTTCTCTTGGGCTGAATGGGAACATCATTTCAAGCAAATTTTGGTTGTGTGCGGCTGTTTCTGCCAGAACTGTGCAATTCTCATTGTGACCCTCCCTCCAAGCAATAAGCCCCCTCCCCAGATTACGTCTGCAAAGACGTAGGCACAATGTTTTCACTATCATATGCATAATCTTTTACACCTGATTAAAACGTTTTAAAGTTAGGAATAAGTATGCAGGACTTCAAATGCCTGCTAATGCTACCAGGGGAGGAATGGTTTTCCTCTAAGCACACATACAAACCTTGATTTAGATGAGAGCACACTCTAAGAAGTTCTAACAGTAAAGGAAAAGAAAGTAAGCGACATGACCACTGAGAACTGGTTTGCATCCTCATCTGATTCCTGCTTGGATCTGATGGCCAGTTGCCACAGCTAATTAGAGCCAAGGTTTATGGCTGATCTGATGAGCATATATTTTTAATCACCTTCTCCCCAGCGCTCATATAAATAGATATGAGATTTCTTCTTTGAAGTTCAGTGTTCCAAATTAACCACGGTATATGAGCAGGCCTGCATAGTTAATTCTATGGCTTTTGTGGGGGCAGGGAAAGAAAGAGGGCTTAAGTATGGGAGGAACAGGGCGATTGTCACAGCTCTTTCAAGCTCAGGAAACATTGCTGAATTTAACTGCTGCCATTAAGGTCCTTGTTTAATGCTGAAACATTGTACAGCACTTTCCCAACCACATACAGGCC